CTAGGATTACAGGTGTGAGCCACTGCACCTGGCCATAAAGGCATTCTTTATCTGATTGTGGTTTGTCTCCCTCAAAAAGCTGGGGCATAAATAGGCAAAGCTGCGTGCTTAGCATCTACGTAATCTTGGTATTTGCTGGATGTTGAGGGAGTCACATATGAATCTAAGTGATATCAAAGTTCCAAGAGATCTAGAGCATCCAAATCCGTCTAGGGATCTTTACAGTGCATTTGCAGATGCCAAATGCAGTAAGACACCAAAAGCCCACAAGAAGACAAATCACTAGGATGACAAATAGACCCAAACTAAGAGCAAAAATCCCATTAACACACTTGTTCTCCCATCTCTCTTGATAATACACTTGCTGTTTATAATGTGATATGCGTTGTAACAGTGATGAGGGACTATTAAACTGGGAGCTTATGTGAGATGTTGCAATTGGAGGGAGAGGTGGGCAGAAAGGGTGTAACCCAAATAAATCCTTGGCCCTTTAGTTCTTAGAGTAGCCCTTCAGCCATCCTGTTCCCAGGATCTGGCAGGCCACATGAGATCTTAGTTTTCTAAGTTATGGTTGAGCCACACTGTTGTCTATTTTTCTACATTTTCCCAGTGATCCCAGGAAGGCCACAGCTAATAGCTATTGAGAGGGATCTAAGTACCCACAATTTACAGTTCCAAGGAGAGGAGAATAGTTGAAAAAAGAATGATAGTCATAAGAAAGAATAATGTTGGTCATTTCCCATTCTTCAATTAATTAATGATATGATTTATCTTTGCTTTGAGGGAGTTAACCTTGTCTGTCAGAAGCAGCAATATTCACAGCATACCAGGGTAACTATCAAAGTATGCAACTAGAGCAGTAGTATGATACTAGAATAATTCACAACCTTTTGAACTATGCAAGTTTGCAAACTCAACTCCATTTTAGAGTCTGCCATGATGGATAATTAGCTCACAAAGACTGAAAACATAGAAAGCATTAAGGGGGGAAAAAAACCCAAGATCTTGGATCACAGAGATGTTTAGGATTTGGGAAACTATCTAGGTAAACCTTTTTAGTCTAAATTTTAATAATTTTGAAACTCAAAGATCTCCAAGTCCTAAGACAAAATCATCCATACAACCCTTCATCTAGGAAATGACCCTTTGAATTTTTATCTTTAGAAGGGTAAATGGATAATACATGCCTAAATCACAAAATTCTTTTAAATCTCATATTCTATGTAAATGACCAAAAACACGTAAGCACATGGGCAGTTCCTCAAAAAATTAAAAGAATTACCCTGTGATACAGCAAGTCCACTTTTGGGTATATATCTAAAACAGTTGAAAGCAGGAACTAAAACAGATATTTATATACCAACATTCACAGCAGCACTATTCACAATAGTCAAAAAGTGGTTAAAAACCCAAATGTCTATTAATGAGTGTATAAACAAAACGTTGTCCATACATACAATGGAATATCACTTTCAGCCTTTAAAAGGAAGGAAATTCTGACACATGCTACAACACGAATGAACTTTGAAGATATTATGCTAAATGAAATAAACCAGATACAAAAGAATAAATTTTACATGACTGCACTTGCATCAGGTCACTAGAGTAATCAAATTCATAGAGACAGAAAGTAGAATGGTAGTTGCCAGGGGCTAGAGAGAGGGGGGAATAGAGATTTATTGTTTTCTTGTTGCAGAGCTTGAGTTTGTGAAGACGAAAATGTTCTGGGGATGGATGTTGGTGATGGTTACGCAATGTAAAAGTACGTAATGCCACTGAACTGTACACTTAAAAATGATTAAAATAGTAAATTTGAGGTTATGTATATTTCACCACAATTAAAAAAAAAAAAATCACTGAAGCAAGAAACATGGAATCCATGGCCGGGCGCGGTGGCTCACGCCTGTAATCCTAGCACTCTGGGAGGCCGAGGCAGGCGGATTGTTTGAGCTCAGGAGTTCGAAACCAGCCTGAGCAAGAGCGAGACCCCGTCTCTACCAAAAATAGAAAGAAATTAATTGGACAACTAAAAATACATAGAAAAAATTAGCCAGGCATGGTGGCGCATGCCTGTAGTCCCAGCTACTCGGGAGGCTGAGGCAGAAGGATCGCTTGAGCCCAGGAGTTTGAGGTTGCTGTGAACTAGGATGATGCCACGGCACTCACTCTAGCCCGGGCAACACAGTGAGACTCTGTCTCAAAAAAAAAAAGAAACATGGAATCCTAACTGGAATCAGGCCATGAGGAAGAAATGAAGCCTTGGACATTGTATGCAAAATAGAGAAATGCAAATTTTTCTACGGAGGTAGAATATATAGCTTTCCTCAGATTTTCAAAAATGTTCGGTCTCTAAAAATTTTTGAACTACAACCTTTTAACCTATGAAGAAAAACAAATATCAAAGCAATGTTAATTGGAATTTACTTAATTATTTATTTTGAGAGATGGAGTCTTACTCTGCCGCCCAGGCTGGAATGCAGTGGCACGATCATAGCTTACTGTAATTTCGAACTCCTGGGCTCAAGCAATCCTCTCACCTCAGCCTCCCAAGTAGCTAGGACCACAGACACACACCACACACCTGGCTAAATATTATTTTTTTTAGAGACAGTTATGTTGCCCAGGCTGGCCCCTGTTAATAGGATTTCATAATACTACATTTCCCAGCATACCCCAATCAATACAGAACAGTTAAACTGCACACATTAAATCTTCAAATAAATGTCTGCTAGCATGAAGTAAGTACTTACTATTTGGTGACCAATTGTCCAATATAGCGCTCATAAATCTAATACTGTATATTAAACATGAACAAGAGAATAAGAGACTCACTTCCTGAAGTCAAAGCAGAAAATTAAATGAGACTGGGTACGATGGCTCATGCCTGTAATCGTAGCACTCTGGGAGGCTGAGGCAAGAGGATTGCTTGAGGTCAGGAGTTAGAGACCAGCCTGAGCAAGAGTGAGACCCTGTCTCTACCAAAAATAGAAAAAAATAGCTGGGCATGGTGGCGCATGCCTGTAGTCCCGGCTACTCAGGAGGCTGAGGCAGGAGGATCGCTTCAGCCCAGGAGTGTGAGGTTGCTGTGAGCTAGGCTGATGCTATGGCACTCTAGCCCCAGGCGACAGAGTGAGACTGTCTCAAAAAAAAAAAATTAAACAGAGTTACCATATGAACCTAGGTATATTCCCCAGAGAAACAAAAACATGATGTCCACACAAAAACTTGCACATGAATGTCACAGCAAAGTTATTCATAATAGCCAAAAGGTAGAGAAACAACCCCAATGTCCAACAACCGACCAAGGGATAAACAAACGGTGGTATATCCATATAATAAATTATCCAGCAATAAAAAAGAAATGAAGTACTGATATATGCTACAATATGAATGAACGTGAATGTTAAGCGGAAGAAGCCAGTCAAAAAATACCATATAATGTATAATTTCATTTACATGAACAATCCAGAATAGGCAAATTTATAGACAGTAGATTAGTAGTTGCTTAGGGCTTAGAATGTGGAATCAAGCTTGGGAAATCAGGAGAGACTGCTAAACGAGTACAGGGGTGGGGGTGATGAAAATGTTCTAAAATTGATTGTGGTGATGGTTGTGTAACTTTGTGAATGTATTAAAATCACTGTACATTTTAAATGGGTGAATTCTATGGCATGTGAACCATATATCAGTAAACCTGTGGTTTTTTTAAAGGACTTAAGATTGCATTGGGTTTTTTTCCATCTTCAAACGGTACCTGGCAGATAGCATAACAAAGTGACTATAAACAATAAGTTATGGTATTCTTTAAAACAACTTAAAGAGTGGAATTGGAATGTTCCTAACACAAAGAAATGTTAAATGCCTGATGTGATGGATGTCTCAATTACTCTCATTGGATTAATTCACATTGTATGGCAGTACTAAAACATCGCATGTACCCTAGAAAGATAAAAAACTATTATGTACCCATAATAATTAAAAATAAAAAATTTTTAAAAACAGTACCTAGGAATTCCTAATACTAGGAATTCCTAATACTAGGAATTCAATAAATTCTGGCTGAATGGAAGAATAAAAATTAAAACTTGGGTAAACCATATAATGTTGTTATATCCAAAGTGATGAAATTACTGCAGATTGGCATGGCAGGAGCATAATGTGAGTGTACGTGCGTATGGACGTGTTATCCATGAAAGGAGAAAAAAATTGAGCCGATGCAAGACCTTGAAGGGTTTTGAAGCCAGGCTAAGAAGCATGTATTATCCTAATGGCAGTTAAGATTTTGACCATAGGAATAACACAATCAGATCTATGTCTTAATATGCAAAGTGTAAGCTACTTCTATCCAAAGGTAAGTCACCTCAGAAGTAGAACAATGTCCCTCAGGAGAAAATGAGGAATTAGGGGAAGATTGGAGAAGCTAGACTGTCAAATTATCAGAATCTCTATGGATTTTAATTGTACACAGCACCTCACAAAAAACACACTCAGCCTCATTGACAGACACTGATACATACATGCATACATGCACTTTTCCCTAGATCAAAAATAACTTCTGTAGTCAACCCTTGCTGAGTTTTCTATTCTTCAAGTGTTATGGGGACAAAAAATATTATGACCACTGAACCAGAAAATCTTTTCCTACAATAATCGAGGCAGGGTACTCCTCAAGATGTTGAAATTAAGGACCGCCAACACATGCCCAGTTCCACCTCTTGGAAAGGACCTCAACTCTTCATAAATGTGCTATTGGGGACGCTCAGCACGATTAGCTTCAGCCTCATGACTCAGAGCAGATGGGGGCACTTGTGGCATCCCAGGGCGCGGAGCCACGGCGGGTCCCAAGGCGCCAATCATGCAGCGGAGGGAGGTCACGACCCGGCGAGGGAACTCCCCTTGCAGTAGCCCACCCCGCGCGCAAACGCGGCCGCCCGGACTACGAAGACAAATGCTCCTTGTGGAGGGAGAGACAGAGACTCTTACAGCCCGGAGAAACTAACCTGTCAGCAACACAAGTACCACACTGAAGAAAGCGTGCAGTGTTTCCGGGTGAGGGGAGTCAGCGGAAAATACCCACAGGCGAGCACGCCCCGTGAAGAGCAGTCGAGACTTCCGGCGTCCCCTCTTCTCGGGGCTAGAGCGTCAAAACGCGCACCTCCAGTTCTAAATGCTGACAGAGGTCAAAGGGCAGACAGGTTCAGGGTGAAGATCACCTGCAGGCTTCTCAGAGTCTCGGACTTTCCCCGGGGAGGGTTTGCCTCCTCGGATCCCCGTTTTTTTTTTTTTCCTGCATCCAGTTAGCCCAGCTGCATGAGGTTAGAAGATTTAAACTACTGGCTCATGTTTCTTCTCTCAGGGATCTGGCGCCTCTGCTGGCCTCCAAGGACTGAAACGCATTCGGACCTGCGCGGCTGATAAATTAAGCAAAATTAAATTTTATTTTGTTATTTCCAAAACTCCTGAAGGCGAAAAAAATTTTAAAAAATAAATTTTACTTTGTTCATCAAATCAAATGCCTATCTGCACTAGGAAATACAGGAGTAAGGAAAAACTAACACAGTAGTCTCCGTTCTCATGGAGTTTAGAAGTCAAATGGATTATTAACCTCATAATTTGTTCTGAAAATGTAAAGCACTTAGAATAGTGTCTGGCACACTGTATGTGCTCAGTAAATGTTAGCTATTATTATTATTAGGTTTCATCTTCATTCCATTGTCATCATCACCAGTATTATCATCATCATTTACTTTTTTAATGTCAAGCCTGAAGTCCAAGTACCTTTCCTCCACAAAGCAATAAGTCTGAGACTAACTTTAGTTGAAGGCATTAGTCTTCAAACTCTTAATTATACATTTTTATCAGGAAAAAATTAGATTATTTACATGAATTATGTATGATATTATATTATGTATGCTATAAAATTTCCACAAGACATAGAACTTTTAAAAGATGAGGTAGGCCGGAAGTGGCTCACACCTGTAGTCTCAATGTTTTGGGAGGTTGAGGCACTAGGATTATTTGAGCCCAGGAGTTGGGGGCTAGCCTGGGCAACATAGTGAGACCCTGTCCCTGGAAAAAAATTTTTTAAGTAGCCAGGTGTGGTGACAAGAGCCTGTAGTCTTAGCACTTGGAAGGCTGAGGCAGGAGGATCACTTGAGCTCAGAGTTTGACGTTGCAGTGAGCTATGATCATGCCGCTGCACTCCAGCCTGGGTGACAGTGAGACACTGTAAAAAAAAACTTTTTTCTTAAAAAGATGAGATAAAATATTAACAGAAGTTCTATTCTTTTCTTCCCACACAACAATTGGTTGCCAGACATACATTCCATCATTTTAGAATCCACTGGCTAAATGAGCACATTATCGAAGCAGTCTACCATTAAATTCTGAGTTCCCAGGAAGTTTCTTTTCCAAAGAATTAATAGAAACTAATCATATTTGGAGTTGTTTGCCCTATAAGGACTGTGGCCTAGGCTGGAGTGCAGTGGCATGATCATAGCTCCCTGCAGCCTCCAACTCCTGCGTTCAAATCAAACAACCCTCCTGCCTCAGCCTCCTGAGGCTCTGGGATTACAGGCACATAGCACACATCCTGCTAACTTTTTTTTTTAAGAGTCAGGGTCTCCCTGTGTTGCCCAGGCTGGTCTTGAACTCCTGGCCTCAAGCAATCCTCCACGCTTGATATTTCACAGAATAAATCAACTAATAAAAAGCTTAGGATGTTTTGTATATGTGCATTTCATACAATATTCATGAAAACAAACCCCAGGTCAGTTATCTCTTGTTCCATACTAGAAAGAGAAACAAGTTTACTTGGTAAATAAGAAAACAAATAGGCTTTTTTTTGAGACAGAGTCTGCCTCTGTTGCCTGGGCTAGAGTGCGTTGGCATCATCATAGCTCACAGCAACCTCAAACTCCTGGTCTCAAGCAACCATCTAGCCTCAGCCTCCCAAGCAGCTGAGATAACAGGTGCATGCCACCACGTCCAGCTAATTTTTCTATTTTTTTGTAGAGATGGGTCTCGCTCTTGCTCAGGCTGGTCTCAAAATCCTGGCCTCAAGCAATCCTCCCACCTCAGCCTCCCAAAGTGCTAGGATTACAGGTGTGAGCCACCATGCCCAGCCTAAATAGACTTTTCTGACCATTTGCTTGAAAACTCAGAATTTCCATTTGTATCACTGGACTTAAATCTACTAAAGTTTTTATCTAAATTTTAAGCTAAAAACAAAGCAAAACTCTATAGTGAATAATGTTGTTATTTATCTACCTAATATTCATTCCCCTCCTACTCCTTTATAACAATACCCTTATTTTGTTCAAATAGGCACCCCATTCAGAAAATGACACTGATTAAATCTAACAGTCACCATACAGGACTATTCCCTTGGGAATAGTAATTGATCAATGAATGAGCATGTGACCCAAGTTGGCACAATCTGTCTGAAAGAAAGAACTTCTCTTTTGTGCTTAGGAGAAAGTTTCTAACACACTCTCCTCTTGACAGGGAAACATCTAAACCACACTGTCACATCTGGTTTATTCCCACTGCAAGAGAATAAAGCAGATGCTGAGGACAACTAAATAAAGTGGTAAAAAGATGTCATTGGTGACATCATTCCAAACCTGGAGCTCACCCTCTACCTGAACTTCTTGTAAGGCTATCTAATAGATTTCCTTACTGTTTTCCATTAGAGATGTCATGAAGATTAAATGAATTATAATAATTCTGGCTATATTCTAAGTGCTCAATAAATGGTAGTTATTTTTTGTTGTTAAATTAGCTTGAGTTAGGCATTCTGTTTCTTATAAACAAAAATATCCTAATACACATTCTACCCCTCTTTTTCTATGTATCTAAAGAAAAGGTCTGTTTTGATACTTCTACTCAGTAACAGCAGGATCCAACCCAGTATATCCAGCGTGTCTCTCAGCAGCACCCTAGAATTATCAAACCTGAATAAATGCTGTTCCAGCTGCTCCGGAGGCTGCGGCAGGAGGATTGCATGAGCCCAGGAATTTACGGTTACAGTGAGCTACGATTGCACCACTGCATTCC